ACAACCAATTCCCTCCCCATTAGAATACCTTGCAACACAACAACCAATTCAGCATGATTGGCTGAAACAACTCCACACGGCCCAATATAGCAAAATACTATCAAACCCTTAGAATCTTACATACTCCTCCCACTCTTGCATTCATTAGGTTACCGTAAGAAGATCCATCAAAATTAAGTTTTAAACATCCCTAGAGAGGAGCTTGCCACCTGGATCTTGGTCTCACCTTTAAAGTCCTATATGATAGGATATTTGCCAAATTAAGGAAAATATCCACCTTAAAGACTCCATACCTTTCTTTAGTAACATTGAACCAACTCCAAAGAGTATGTAAAGAATTTTATTTTGAAGCCCTTGGACAACCAAAGAAACTCCATCAAAAGTTATTTTATTCCTCTCAAGTCATAGCTCCCAAATAATAGCTCATCTGAAAAAGTCCCATATCATCCCTCCCAATTTTGAGAATCCAGCCAATTTAAGATGGTATAACACATCAATCAATGAACCTGGCATAACCATATTCACTCCGACTTTATCCATTGCTTATTGCCAAATATGAACGGCAAAAGGGCTTGACAAGAAAAGATTAGCACAAGTTTCTTCATCATTCTTGAGAAAAAGACACATTTACTAACGCCTTCCTTGTTTTTCTAAGATTACTAATAGAGAGTACCTTACGATGAATTATAACCCAAATGAATCCTTGAAATCGGAGAGGTATCTTCCATTTCCTGCATCCATGTAATCCGATCGTTAAAAGGTAAAGAGTACACAAATCTCACCAAAAAAACACTATTAGCCTCAAACTCTCAAATAGCCTCATCAGCTGCCACATTAGAAAGATGCACATCAATAAGCTAAGCAAATCAGTTAATTGGTCATACACCACAGACAGAATCCTAATATACTGACAATTGATGTTTCAAAAAACTTCTCCTCCATTAGACTCACCAATATCACAAACCTTAGCCAAAAGGTTAGAGCATCTTTGAAACAGTTCTGGATACTCAGATTTAAGTGCTATATCTTAAGCCCACTTTTGATGCCAGAATAAAATTTCCTCACCTTTCCCAACGGACCAGCACGTGTGCCTTACCACAAAGGACCGTGTAAAGCTAATCGACTTCCACACATGTGACTGTCGCGACCCTCACTTTTTTTTGAGGGTGTGGTTTGGATAAAGTGTCAACCTTAAACAATCAAAGTAAAGGGGCACATTTAAATATTAATAAACAACACTACTTTGGTGTTGGAAACTCTTACAATGGCCTAAAATATATTTTAAGACAAACTTATAAAATTTAAAGCTTGAAAAATGATGTAGATCAAACATATCTGTAAAGTATTAGCACTTGGAAATTTTGAAAACAGACAGTCTAGATAATGTGCTACAAGATGCACTTATTCTAGAACGTGAACTCCTATTCCTTTTCATATCAATATATCTTGAGGTTGAGATGATCAATTATAAAATCTTTCAACTTAAAAATAACTTTTTAGGATGAATTTCTAAAAAGTGTGGTTTGCATAAGGTTGCAACCTTAAACAATCAATTTAAGGTGGCGTCTCCAAAATTTATCATAAGAAGTGATTTTGTTGCCAAAATTTTTTGTGATGACTTGAAAATCTATTTTTATCTCTAATTATACGATTTAAACTCTATAAATAGTTCAAATCAAGTAGATCTATATGTGAAAATTTTAAAAATTGACTGTCTAGATAATGTATTACAAGATGCATTATTTTTTAGACTTGAAATTCTTTTTTATTATTTTATATCCATATATTTTGATATCGAGATGGTTAGTTAGAGACTCAGAGGGTTTTCCAACATCAAAACGATATTGTTTCGATGGATTTTTGAAGTGCACATTAATTCTACATTTTAAAGTTGCAACCTCATATGAACTTTTTCTATTTTTGAGATATACATCATATATGTAGAATAAGATAGGCACCTTATATAAAGCTTTTTCTATTTTTGCGAAAAAAAAGTATATAATGATATCATTTATCTTTGGTACAAAGAGGTCACAATTAAACTTGAATATTTGATATGAAATTAGATAGTTATATTTTTTCCATTGTGGTTGCAATAAATCTTGACTATTGGATGTGAAATTAGATAAAAAAAAAAAATTCATATTTTTCCTATTATTTATTTATTTTTATTTTAACTAGTGAATTGTGGAGGGGGTGGCATGCTTTTATCGTGGGGCATCACGCGCCCACCACGTAATACTGAACCACTAGACTCTTAATCGCCCCGGCAACCGTCCGATAAAAAACAAACGGCCCAGATCAACTAATTAGCTCAGTTAAAATCTCACTCCCTCTTGTCATTTGCGTTAATAATAGCAACGATTCCGTTACCTCGCCCCTTGCTTCAATCCTCGCCTCTCCTTCTCCCCACTTCTCTTCTCTCTCTAAACCCGTTTACCTCTTTGTAAATAGCACTCTCTCTCATAAATATAATAGTATATAAATTAAATATTTTATAAATAAATCTCTCCCTTACATCTATCAAATGAAATGGTCTAATTTTTTTAAAAATTAATTATACTTATTTATTTTTGAGATTTAATCTTTTTTAAGATTAATTATATATTTATTTCTTTTTTATGATATACAAATATAATATATATATAATTAGTCTTTATATAATTAAAAAAATAAAATTCTATATGATAATTTACAAAAAGTAACATAATTATCTGAAATTATTGTTTGTTTATGTTAATAACTTAAATATAATCATGTTAAACTTATGTCAATATAATTATTTTTAAATACATTACAATTATTTTTAAATTATATGGAAGTTTTTTTTATTTTTTTAAATTATTTTGATTTAATATTGTAATACTATATTATAATTAATAATCATAATCAAGGATTTAAAAAGCGGCGAGTCGACGCGGCTGTGGTAATTAAATTATAAGATAAAAAAAGAAAAAATTATTAAAAATAATAATTGGGTGCTCACCACCCCTATATTCTACCAAAAAAATCTAAGTTTACCTACCCAAATAAAACATAAAAACTCTATTGGGCATCTCATGGGATTATAACATTGTATGATTAGAAATTAATTAAGTACTTAATTGAGATTAAGAATGAGTACTAACTCATAGGATATTAAGAAAACAAAAAATAATGCTAATTCTAGTTTATTGAATATTAAAAAATATTAGTTTAAAAAATATTTTAATAGAAAAAATAACACTAACTCATACCACTTTAAAATTTATTTCTACATTGATAACCAAATCTTTTGTTTTATTTATTTTTATTTATTTGTATTATAAATTATGTAATATACTATTTTTCTTACAGGTGTCAATAATACATTTTAAATTAGATGATAGTATAAGATATTTTGGATTTGTTATTATTTATATAATAAAATAACTATAAAATGTAAACCAACAATTTCAATTTCAGTATATAATATTATAGTTAGTCAGTTTGTAATAATTTTGGATTATAGTTAGGTTGTAATAATTTGA